CCTTATTCTTGATGTAAATACAATAAAATTTTAAAAAGTTTGCAGAAAAGCCAGCTCTCTTTTCTGCGCTCAGAGATGAGACATAGATTCAGATCTGGAACCAGAAGAAGTTCAGACAGATTTTCAGTGCACACACGCAACCTTGCAAGCACATGTTCTATGGGAACAAGTCATACCTACAGGAAGGCTGGACCCTCAACCCTTAGAAAAGAAGTTTCCTTGTGTGTGATGAACTGCAGAGCCTTGTGGGATCTCACATGGCCCATGGGATTCCAGCAGCTGTACCCCCCCCCAGTTTGTTGTGAAGTGTCTACATATTTTTCAAAGATGTTTGTCAAAGCATTACTTTGGCTGCCTTCATTTTCCAGGAGGGCCTTGTTTGATAACATTCTGTTCCACCAGGATCAGTTGCAATTGTTCGCACCTCCTAGTTTCTGCTAGGTAAAAAGAAGTTTTTGAAGCTCTCCTGACTCTTGAAGCTGGTGGAGTGGAATGAGCAGCCAGTGGCACTGAGGTGTGTGCATTGCAGTAGCGTAGAAGAAGGGCAGCTGTAGCAGAGGTCAGACTACAAATCAGCTGTTCAGATTTACAGTCTGGTTTATTCCTGAAAAGAGCATCTTCATGTCACTCACTCTTTGCATTTGCTCATATTCCCCTTTTCATCCCCAGAAAGGGAGTCTGTCATAGGAAGATAACAGAGCTTGAAGCCAGGAGCAGACCACTGAAGCTGCACAGTGTTGGTGACAATCTAAAAGGAGTTCAGTAGCGATTTTGGGAAGTATTCATTGCCTTCTTGTCTCAGAAGGAATGCTCCACAGACTGCTGTGTATTTCTGCTACCTAGTAGCTAAGTTGAATGCAAGCATAAATTGTCAAGCCTAAATCTGTGTGAAAACAGAAGCTGTTGTCACTTGGAATAGAAGGTTGCTCGCATGTTGCTTTTCTCTGCTATAAATTGTGCAGAGTGTCTCAGAGAATGAGGTCTGTAAAATGTGGCACCCCTTGTTTTGAAGGATACTTCTGAGTGTTTGCAAATTAAAGCTGTTAGCATCCACTAAGAACAAATAGCTTTTCTTCTGGGGTGGTTTTGTTTTTTGTTTTTTTTTTTTCCTTCTCATGCATGAAATGAATTCTTATTTGTTTTGTTTGTTCTTCTCTCTTCTGCCAAATATTGTAGGACCTTTGAAATGCCTGGAATCATACCTGCTTCTCTCCATCCCTTTTTTGTCTCTTTGTCTGCCAGTGCCTGAACATTCTCCGCACACTCTAGCTGAGACCCCACTAGGAAGACACACCTGAGTGGTTCTGCTCTCTCTGACAGGGCAGATGTCTGTACAGAGCTGCAGAAAGTAAAATTGATGGGTCATTTTATTGTACGCTGTAAAATAAGGGTGATTAGAAAGATCAGTCTTGCAGGAAGCTCATTTTCCATTGAAAAAATAATTTGCAATTAATAAATTCTTTACTTCTTTAGAATTAAGGACTCAAGAATTTTTTTAACATTTTGTGTTTCCTTATTTAACCTGTGGAAGTATTATTCCTCTTAGTCCTGAGAATAGCAAAAGGGAATCAATGGAAAGCTTCTCATCAGGTTGAATGTGCCCTGGATCAGGTCAGAAACGTCCACCATCTATTTACATGGTAGCACTCACTGGTGATACACATGTACTCTCGTACACGCAGTGTTAGCAGCTGATGCTCAACAACCTCTTTTTTCACTTTTTATTTATACACCTCTTTTGTATGCTGAATTGTTTTAGGCCACAGCAAACTTATTAGGGATATTACGTGTCTAAATATGAGTTGGATTAAATAGAACATAAATTTAGCTATAGAATGGATTGAATAGTTCTTAAAGTATTTGTAAATGAATTTCATTTAATCAAACGTGCCAGTCTGTGAAACTGAATAACATACTACACGCTTCCTGCATTTTATAGCAACAGCAAAATTCTTTTACAAAATATATACAGAAAAAAGAAATGCAGCACCAACAACCTCCAAGTTCATGGCGTCTTTAAGGATTCTTATATTATTCTTCTTTGTTGCTAGTCTCTGAAAGATTTGGAATATCAATTCATGTCATGACTTGGAATTTATAAAACCAGAACCGGAAGTGGAAGTTATTTGAATGTTACTGAAAATTGCAGGGCTTTCTTAGTAGCATAGGGGAAAAAAAAAAACAACCCAAACATTGCAGGCAATTATCTTGGCCCAGTTTCATTATCTGAAACATAAAATCTGAGAAGAGCACAAAAACAAGGGCATTCCTCTGCAGATTTGCCCTTATTCTCCCCATCTCCCTACTTTTCTTCCTGGCAGCCTTTCCTGGTGTAGCTGCTTATGCTCCCTGGGACAGAGGGGCAGAGCAGGAAAGATAACGGTTTGGAAGGGAGGGAGAAACAAGGAGGGAGGATGACCTCTACCTATTCAGTAGCTTTCCTTTGGGTGTTTAGAGAGAAAAGAGTTAATTTGTAGCTATCATAGCAGAAATTGGATCTTTGGGAACAGTAGTGCTTGGTGGTTTTTATAACTTTATGCAGTGGGTTCCAAAATTTCAGGGCCAGTCAGTCTACTACCAGGTTACAGCAGCTCTTGTGGACTGCTGTTCTACAGCACTTCATGTTGGAGTTTCATTGACAGCACGGTCACCCAATGTAACTCTTTGCTCTTTGCAATTTTGTGGATGTGCTGCAGATCATTTTCTGTGGCTGCAAGACCATAGCAGTCTGGGTTAGAACTGTATCTTCATGCTAATTAAACTAAATGGACTTCTGAAGAAACTCAGAATTATTTTGTAGTTATATAGGAGCCCTCCTAGTGTAACATTATAAACAGTTTATGCCCTTGCTTCCTAAACATAAAAGATAGGACCCTGAGACAGAGTTGAAGGATAGCAGGGCACATCTTTGCTATGAACTGTTGGTTATATTGGCTTCGGCAAATCTCTGGCAGTTGTAGTGGCTGAAGCTTTACTGTTTCAAGGATGCTTGGGGTCACAGAGAAAATCAGTGACAGAACAGAGAATCGATGCTAGGTTTGAACATCTTTATCTGTTGTGTTAGTCATAAAACCATCTTTTCTCTGTTATATCTGATCTTTTCTAACCTTTCATGTAAGAAAAGCCTTGCAGGTTATCTGATAATGTGCCTGTGGTTTGGACAAGTTTCATAAAACCTGGGATACATGCAAGAGTTTTCAGATTTTTCTGTCTGTGAACATTTAGATTTTTATTCTTGTTACATTTGTACACGTTTTCAGTGCCTCACAAGAAGCTGATGGAAGCTACATAAAAGCAAAATTTAGACAGGCTGTAGATCAAATCATGGAGCCATCACTGGGCCTTTAAGTAGAAGTCTGATCTCTCCACCTGTCAAAGTCAACATAGATTGGGCTGAGGGGAAAGAGGTGCTTTGCTGGGCTTTTCTGCAAAGAAAAGATTCTAAGTGTTTGGGGGTTGTGACATCCAGCAGTAAAAAATGCAATAGAAATGAATAGAATTGCATTTTACTTGAAAGAAAAAACAAAAATACTCCTACAGACAATGACAAACTTGCTGCTCTTGTTCAGCTGTCTTGGTAAACATCAGTATGCAGCTCTGTCAGATGCACAGGCCTTTGCTGAGTGCAGAGTCCCATAGTGGGAGGCAGATTATAGAATCATAGAATTGTTTAGGTTGGAAAAGACCTTTAAGATCATCAAGTCCGACCCTTTGCCCAACACTACCAAGTCCACCACTAAACCAGCTAAGGGTAGAGTAATAATTAATTTCATGTTTCCTGGCTTATGTGACAGTTGAGACTAGCAAGCTGGTTTTGAGTATTTTGGTACATCTAAATAGGTGCTGGACTGTATGAGCCAACAGCCTAATGCTCTGCCTGCAGATCAGCAGCTTGGGAAGAATTACTCTGAATAAAACAAGGGGAACAAAAAGTAGTTTGTGTTCAGGGTATGATAGTAAGAGGCTGGGAAGCTGCAGCTGGCAACATTCAAAGGCTGTGCTTGTTGGTTTCGTGATGATCAAAGGCTTTGACAGGATTAACTGATGTCTTTATCCACTCCCTGTTTCTAAGAAAGTACTTGGTATTTCACAAGCAGGTAGAAAGTTAAGGGCACTTCCCCTGAAGTTAGTACTATGTGGGCAACTCCATGCATTTTCTAGGCCTCTTACTTGCTGTCCTTTTGTCTACTGGAAAAGGCAAGGTATCTTTTTTTCTATTCTATAGCTGGGGAAACTCGGCGGAGATTGGGTGTGGTGGAGCGGGCAGCTGCTGTGACTGAGATAATGTCAACAGAGTGACAGTCTGCTTATCTTTACCATCTGCTTCCTCCGAAGGCTGCTTGGATTGTTGTCTGTACCTAAGTCAAAGCACTCCTAGAGCATTCACTGATGAGGTCAGCTATCTCTGGATAAGACATGAAAAGCTTACCACTTTCCAGTTCTGGATAGCTGGGTCTTACCTGAGCAACAGGAAGGGTTTTAATTCCTCCTTTCGTTTTCACTACATAAGGGTCTAATCAACACTGAGGCCCCACAGGTATCACCCAGTATTCTGTGTCCCACCAGGGCAAGCCATGCTACAGAGTCTTGGTTTCACTTACACTTGTCCTTGTGCCAGGCTGGCAGTGCCAAAGTCACTCTGGACCCTAGACACAACCTTCATCTTCAGGAAGTGGTGGAGGGAAACAGGAGCCCTTCAGAGTTCCAGCTGGGTATATGCTACCCCTGAAGAGGTTTCTGTAGTCTGCTTTCCAGGCTTTAGCCCAATAGAGATGGGAAAAGCCCCATTAGGTCCGAGTGAACCTGTCTTTTCAGATGGATTGTCCTGCATGTCTTTAGGATAAAGTACTGGTTATAACACAAGGCTACTAGAGAGAGGGTGTACTTTCTGTAAGTTTCCCATGCTTGCAACCTAAGCATAGCCAAATTTGATCCATAACTAACCCCAGCTCACCTTTTAACTACAATGCCTTCTTTTCTTCTCTTTTTGGTCTCTAAAGCCAGCACTAGCCCTACATCAGGCCTTGGGACCGCTGCCATCGTAGGCATTCTCATTGTTATCTTTGTGCTGCTCCTGGTGGCTGTGGATGTCACCTGCTACTTCCTGAACAAGTGTGGCCTGCTGATGTGCATTGCTGTCAACTTATGTGGCAAATCTGGCCCAGGAGCCAAGGGCAAAGACATGGAGGAGGGCAAAGCTGCCTTCTCGTGAGTACTGTCATCACTTATATTGCTCTTTCTGTTGATCAGTGTGCCCCTTCAGCAACTCCGGAAAAGAAACTGTTTCAGGGAGTTCTGGGTTGCTCATCTCTGATGGGAGGGTACTGAAAAGATCTGGGGCCACGCTGGTTCTACTTCATATTTGCAGGAAGGGGTTTCTTCAGCTGTTTTTCTGTTTTTGTCCTATTCCTGTTAGTAGCCATCAAATGGCTGGTCCAAATGCTGGTCATCACAGTGGTCTTCTGTGCTGTAGATAATAACTGGAAGGAGGAGTGACAAAAAGAAGTAATCAGCTGTTTAGGCCAGTCTGTTTCTGTCATTCACTATCAACCTTTGCAGCATGTCTTTGCAGGAGGATACCTAGTGTGAATGGGAACCAATCTCCATGCAATTCCCTTGTTACAGGAAAGATGAGTCCAAGGAGCCTATTGTGGAGGTGCGGACTGAAGAGGAGCGGACCCCCAACCACGATGGGGGAAAACACATGGAGCCCAATGAGACTACCCCGCTGACGGAACCAGAGTATGTTGTTATTAGTCAATCTTAGCACAGGGTCAATATCTTGCCCTCAGTTGCCTTAATCCCTGATCTCTCATGCCCATGACTTAGGGCAGGAAGGGAGGAAGAAAGGTAAAGTTTCCATGCGCCATTTGTGACATACCAGTGAGGAAATGTCTCCTCTATTCCCTGAGATTCAGTGACTCCTATTTCCAGCACTGGAAGGAGAGTAAAGCAGTGTTTCTTGAAAGGCCGATCTCTGCCAGTCCTGTCCAGGTTCACTGTAAAGGATGCAGAGGAAAAGCAGCCCCCAGCTAGCACCAATTCCTGCTACAGCTCTGCCCTAGCAATGCTGGATGAGTGCTTGAACACCCCATGGTGGAAGCAGTCCTCTACTGATAGCAGCAGAGTAGCTATGCTCTGGATGTTGGGGGAGGCATGGCAAGTCTGGTCATTGTGAGAGAGGGCTGAGAGCTACCTGTGAACTTTGTTCATATTGGAGAACTTGTTTGGGGCCTGAGTCTGTGAATCCATGTTAGCTGAGATTGGCAAGGTTTAAGTATCGGCCACTGTCTACATTAAGCTGTTTCCTAAACTGCTGCAGCTCTAGTGTCCTCTGAGTACTTCTCCATAGCTTCTGGAGTAGTAATGAGAGGAATTCACTTTAGGAAGCCGCTGAAGTGCTTGTTAATATTTAGCCAAGTTTGGGATTGATGCCACAAGTTGGGTTCCTTTCCTTCAGCAGAGTCATCACAGTGGTGAGGTGTTCAGGCTTTTGCACCCACATACTGCTCACTTCCTTTGAGTAGGTTAGCAGTGGGGCCCACTGGTAAAATGGCTGTGCTGGAAGTCTCTGTGAGGAGAGAGGAGAAAGGAGGCGATGTCCACAAGCAGCATTGAGATGCGGACTTGCAGCACTGAGGAATAGCTGGGATTTATATTGTCCTGATTTTCTTGGCTAGTCTTACCAGAGTTTTAGCTCAATTATCTCCCTCTGTGGAGGTTTTCTCTCTCTTAATAAGCCTGGTGTTCTCAGGCACACTGGCTTCTCATGGAATAAACCATTTGTTTTTCCAGCCTCACATACGTGTACTTGTTAAGGCAACCAGTGCTATGTCGTGGCTACTAAAGCGTAGTTACGCTGTCGGACGTTGTCCTAAAGCAAACCGTATGCCAGCTAACACAACAGGCTCAAATCTGGTCAAAAGGGCAGAAAACATCACCTCAAAGCTGCATGTATGTGTGTGTATGTACGTGTATATACGTATTACATGTGTGTGTGAGAAAAAGTTATATTCTATGTGGTTTGATGAAAGCCTTAGACTTGCAGGCAAAAGGACAGGGCCAAGATGAGGGACTGGATTCAGGGGTCCTACACTGGGACCTTGTTGCGTGGTGACAGATGGCACAGGGCTGCAAGCTCAGGGAATTGGTAGAAAGCTTCCTTGTGAGGTTAGGAGGAAGAGGCTGAGGGGAAAGTTAGGCTAAAGAGAATAGTCTTTGCAAGTTGACAGGGTTATGTTTGGCTAAGACTTGAACCAAAATCTGCGTGAGCTAGCCATTCCTGAAGGACATGTCCTCTTTGCTCTTTTTCTCTTCCTAGTTATTCTTCAGTCATCCCAGCCAGCCTTTGCTACCCTTTGCACATTTGACCTCTGAAAGGTTTCTGCTCCTCTGAGTACCTTTCCACGTTGTGTGTCTGTGTTGTAACCACATGCCATGCTGCTGCTGCACCACCCACCTGCCTTCTCGCTCTTACGCTCTGCTCCCCTTTTCCCTGCTGTCATTTACAGGCTTCATTGTCTCTATTTCTCTTCTACTCCTGTCCTCTTCACAGGCACCCCGCTGATACCGCAGCTACTGTTGAGGACATGCTGCCTTCTGTAACTACGGGCACTACTAACTCTGACACTATCACTGAAACCTTTGCCACTGCTCAGAACAGCCCCACCAGCGAGACCACTACGCTGACCTCCAGTATTGCCCTGCCAGCCACGGCCATTCCCGACTCAAACTCCATGTCACCTGGCCAGGCTACTCCAGCCAAAGGGGCAGCCACCTCAGCCTCTTCACCACCACCCTCCTCCACCCCCAAAGTGGCCCCCCTTGTTGATCTCAGCGATACCCCAAGCTCTACTCCAGCTACTAATAATTTGTCTTCAAGTGTCCTGTCCAACCAAGGTGCAGTGCTCAGCCCCAGCGCTGTTGCTAATGTGGCCGAGACCTCCAAAGTGGCAGCTGGGAACAAGCCAGCTGCCCCAAGCCCTGCAAACCTCACTAGCCCTCCAGCTCCATCAGAGGCCAAGCAGGAGGTCTCAAGCACCAAGAGCCCTGAAAAGGAAGCCGTGCAGCCCAGTACAGTGAAGAGCCCAACAGACACAACCAAGAACCCAAGCAATCTGAAGAGCGAGGCTGCTTCAGGCAGCACCACAAACCCCTCACAGAATGAGGACTTTAAAATGGACGAAGGGAGCTTCAAGACGCCAGACATTGATCTTGCAAAGGATGTTTTTGCAGCTCTTGGCACTACTACTCCTGCCAGTGTAACTAGTGGGCAAGCTTGTGAGCTTGCTTCTTCCACTGCAGACAGCTCTGTACCTGCTGCACCTGCAAAGACCGAGTATGGCTGCCTTTAATCTTCTGTTGGTTGTGTGCTGTGTCTCTTGTGCACTGGTGCTTGTGCTGTGTTCTTGTTGGGTGTTCTCTTAACTAATCTCATTGTTTCCTTAGCAAACTAACTCACCTGTGAGCCAACTAAACAGGGCTTGGCTTTAAAGGTCCAGAAGGAAAGCAGGAATAGGCCGTGCTAGGGAAGCAGAGAAAAGACAAACTCAGGAATTTATCGTAAATGTGTTACTCTTTAGACTTTTTTGCAGCTTTGCCTATTGTAGGTTATTCTTTTGTGAAAGAGATCAGAAATGGTTCAGTTTGATGCAAAGGAAGTGCTGTCCTCAGAGGCACTGAGTTCCTGCAGTTCAGTGAGCACAGCCACGCAAATTCAATTTCCTAACAGATCAGTGGAGCCGTTCAGAACTTATTTCAGTGTAAGGCAGGGCAGAAACTAGTGCCGTGTGAAATTGTACAAGCACGGTACCTCTGGATTTGTCCCTAAACTGGCAAAAGGATAACGCAGTGTGATCCTGTCTGAGAGAGGGGGAGCAGTGACAGCACAGCTGGGTCAGGGGAACTTGGCAGTGTGTTGTCCTGGTATGTTAGAAATGAGTCTCCATCCACTGTACTGGGTCTCCTCTTTACCCAGCTCATCTATTCAGAGAGCATCGGCATGCTCCTAGGCAGGACAACCCTAGGGGTCCTTCGGAGCCTTATGCCATCTGGACAGGATGCGCCTTCCTCAGCTGAGACGAGTCTGCACCTTGTGTTTGGCAGAAGACTGTAACTGGAGAGTGAAAACAGCATGAAGTCCTCACCTGGGTAACTGGGGGGAGGGTCCCCGGCTGTTGTGCAGATGTTGGACAAGAACACTCTTACTGTGTCGGTTTGGATGGCAGTTGCTGACAGAGCCATGAACACAGAAGCCTGGAAAATGCTGACTGAAAATGGATAAGCCACCCTCAAGGGGACAAGTATCTAAGGGCCCTCTTCCTTCTGGCTTCCTATTTGGACACCAAGTGTTGCTAGAGGCAGGATGAAATAGAAGGAGTTTCTTCTCTTTCCTGCCTGAGCAGAGCCTGTGCTTTGTCATGAGAAACAGTCCTGAAAAGGCAGCTCAGATTCGTTGTGGGAGCAGCTCCCAAAACCAAAAGACTGAGTTCACACTGCATCTTTAGCTTTTGCAAAGGAAGGTGTATTGAGGACACTGGGCTCTGCACTGTCAGCTAGATTGCTGCCAAGAACCTAACTAGCTGTTGTAGAGGTAGGTTTACAGCACACTCAGATAAATCTAGGCTGTGCTATAGCAACCACACTGGAGACATACCCTAAGTCACAGCTTTTGTTAGAACTTTTTACATCCTCACATCTCCAGGAAAATTACCTCATTCTGGAAGCTTTGTATTTAATCCAAAACAAAGCATTGGCCTTGATTGTTGGCTCTCATGCTGTGATTGCAACGTATATTAGCACTCACAGAAGGGCAGTCAGTCAGACACTGTAGAACCAAGAACCAGGCTCTTTTCCAGATCTGAGTGAAAAGCCGTGCTGGTTTACTGTATTATTCAGGTGCCTTTACATCTTACAGCTCTGGTCTCCCTACTCCCCGCTGTGCTCCTGTCTTCCCCTGAGTCAGGAGACACTCCTGCCGTGTGACTGTTCCACAGCACTGCCTTGTGCCCCACACAGCTATGGAGCATCTGGCCCTTCCTGGAAAGCCTGGGTGATGCAGCCGATGCACTAGGGTTGGAGGGAACCAGGCAGCCTTGATGGGTGCAGCTGAGCTGCTCCGAAGCAGAGAAATCCATGTTTGCTTCAGTTCACTGCACCTAAAGCCACTGCTCTGTCGTGCTGGGTGCCACAGAGAGACAAACCGAATAGAGAATTGTGATCTGGTACTGAGCTGAAATGAGGTAGGAAATGGTTTGCCCATAGTAAGGAAACATTTCATCTGAATTAATGCAACTTGGTCTGTCATGTAAATGAATACTTGGAATGGTGGAGTGCAGAGCTGTGTTCTTTCTGCCAATCCAGCCACCTTCTTCCACCCGTGTTGCTCATCTGCTTCCCTGGGGGCAAATCAGTGTTGCAGCCATAGGCTTAGACTCATCTCACCTGCTTGTCAGGGTGAATTCAGACTGCAGTCATCTCAGACTAACTCTGGGGCTAATGGGCTGGAATGGGCACTTCTTCAGGCAGGCTAGCAGATATGCCTTGTGTGGACAAACAGGCTTCTCTGATTCTTCAGTAAAGTGCCAAAAGACAGGCTGATGAACCTGAGCTTTAACCTGTGAAGATGCTGACCTCCCTTACACTTGCGAAGCTGTGTTTGACAAACTGCTTCTGTGTGTCCCTTCCTGCAACATACTGGGAAATTCTGGGACTGACTGTAGGGAA